AAAGAGTGTCCCTAATAGTACCGATGAGTGGCTAAAACCAGGTTTTTTTCCCCTCTTAGTGTCTGCCTACTTTTAAAGTGTCTGCATCCTGGCCTGGATGGTACAGCAAATCTTCCAACCCAGCAGTTCTGATTTACATGGTAAGAAAAACAAATGTCTAGGACACAGCAGAAGCTCTTTAACTGCACAGGGCTGCTGGTTTCCAAGACACAGGGCAATATACAAATGCCCAGAGCATTTCAGACTACAGCAGAAGGGAGAAGTCCAGGCTTCCTACCCAAAGCCAGGTTTCCTTTGTCACTTCCAGAGCCTGGTTTGTGGTGTGCAATTAACAGACATTGAGTGTCCTGTAAAAACTGCTGCTGGACGAAGCAGGAATACCACATCTCAATTTCCTTCAGGTGGCCTGGGATGTCAGCATTGAAGACAACCACCACCCCGTGAGAGTCCTTCATCAGGGCTGGCCAGCAAGACTCGAACCTGCGTGGCAGAAAAGGACGCAGCGTGAAGGGCAGGTGGCTCTGGCTTCTGCATTTGTTTTGTTTTTAATTTTTATTGGAGTAGGGTTGATTTACACCGTTGTGTTAGTTTCCGCTATACAGCAAAGTGATCCAGTTATACATTTACACATATCCACTCTTTTTTAGATTCTTTTCCCATATAGGTCATTATAGAGTATTGAGTCCCCTGTGCTAATATAGTAGGTCCTTATTAGTTATCTGTTTTATACACAGTAGTGTGTATATGTCAATCCCACTCTCCCAATTTATCAGCCCCCTGCCACTTTCCCCCCTGGTAACCATATGTTTGTTTTTTACATCTGTGACTCTATTTCTGTTTTTTTTTTTGTTTTTTTTTTTGCGGTATGCGGGCCTCTCACTGTTGTGGCCTCTCCCGTGGCGGAGCACAGGCTCCGGACGCACAGGCTCAGCGGCCATGGCTCACGGGCCCAGCCGCTCCGCGGCACATGGGATCTTCCCAGACCGGGGCACGAACCCGTGACCCCTGCATTGGCAGGCGGACTCTCAACCACTGTGCCACCAGGGAAGCCCTCTATTTCTGTTTTATAAATAAGTTCACTCGTACCATTTTTTTTTGATTCCATGTATAAGCAATGGTTCTGGTTTCTAACTGTGGACTTTGAAAATAATGTCTTAAGTATTAATCATGGATGGATGACCTCTCACTATATCATAACCCAGTCACTAAAGTTTCAAGAGCAATGCATGTCACCAGTAATTGATGGAGCCCCTAACACATGCTAGGAAGGGCGCTCGCCAGGCCCAAGTCCAAGGTGCCTGGCAGGCAGCTGATTTTTGAATCATTTGATGGAGCAAATGCTCTAAACGAAACGTACTTTGGATCGCCACCACAGTCCCAGAGCTCAAATTCACACCCCGCACTTTTGTCGTTGCTGGTAACGTGTGGGTTCTCAAATTCCAGGATCCTAAACATAAAAACAAGAGCAGCACCTCTCCTTAGGAAACATTATACGTTGGGATGCCACCGGCACCAAAGTCAGGGGCGGGTGATGGTCAGGGACTCCGTGGGACGCGGACTGGTCAGGGCTCACCTCACTCCTTGGGTTGGGCTGTATTCGGTGATGTCAGAAGATTCTGTCAGGAAGTTGGCCAAAACAGTTTTTCCACTCTGTGAAAATGAAGACAGTGAAAGATCGTTGCTGAAGAGCAGAAAAGTAAACCATAAGCAGGCCCTCCAACAGCCAGCTTGGACCCAGGTGGGATGCAGTAGAGGCCACCCTGAGATCACCAGGGCAGAGGGCTCTCTCTGGTTGGGTGGGCACAGCCTGCTCTGGGTTGCAGGGAGCACAGATTTCAGTGCTGGCTCTGCTGCTGGGTGACTTTACCTGCTTCCAAGCAGAGGGAATAGCTAGTTCAAAGGCACCAGGCAGGAATGGACGTGGCACATTTAAGGACTAGAAAGGCTGGTAAATTAGAATAGTAGTAAGAGAGAGGGAGATGTGTATGTGCATAAATAATTTTGTTGTTGAAGCTAGGTAATGGATACTAGAGTTCACTGTTCTCTCTCCCCTTGTATATGTTTGAGAATTTCCATTTAAAAAAGATATCTGGGCTTCCCTGGTGGCGCAGTGGTTGAGAGTCCACCTGCCGATGGAGGGGACACGGGTTCGTGCCCCGGTCCAGGAGGATCCCACATGCCGCGGAGCGGCTGCGCCCATGGGCCATGGCCACTGAGCCTGCGCGTCCGGAGCCTGTGCTCCACAGCGGGAGAGACCACAGCAGTGGGAGGCCCGCGTATAGCAAAACAAAAAACAAAAAACAAAAAACAAACAAACAAAAAGATATCTGTGTTTGTTTTGCTTTTCATAATTCCGAGCATATTGTTGTTACTTGCCTATTTAACAGTTTAAGTCTTGGAGAGTTCTCTGTGTCAGTTTACATGGATTTACCTTATTTTGTTTCACTGCTGCACGAAGAATGTACCTTAGTTTATCCAGACATTTGCTCATTGATGGGTACTGAGGGTGTTTCCATCTGTTCAACATTGTATAGGACTCATGGGGAACGTGGAGGAGTCTTTAGCTACAGTAGCTTTTGAGAAATGTAACTGCCACGCCAAAAGCTGTGCACATTTAAAATTGCAATCCCAGAATACTCCGTTCCCTGAAAGCATTCTAACACTGCACGTTACCATATTCTAAACTTTTCTCATCCAAACTGATGAGCAAATAAGTGCCATCTGTTTGTTCTGTGTTCTGCGACTGTGCGACTGAGATCTTTTCATACTTATTGGTCAGTTGTATTTCTTGTGCACAGACTTTGTACACTATCTTGAGTTGCTTCTCTTTTCTTTATTGATTCTTAAACTTTCCTGTATGTTCTACCTATGAATCCTTTCTTTGTCATGCATTTTGCTAATACTTTCCCCTGGCTTTAACTTTGCTGTCATTTCTTTTAAGGCTCCTTCATTTTTTGTGTTGTGTTTAAGACCTTCCCTGTCACAAGATTAAAAACATAGCTTTCCATATATTCATCTACTACAGTGGTTCCCAGCAAGTGGTCCCTGGACGGCCAGCATCAGCAAAATGCAAATTCTCAGGTCCCTCCCAGACCTACTGAATCAAAACTCTGGGATAGGACCAGCGAATTGTGCAACTGACCACCAGGCAATTCTGATGGGTGTTTAAGTTGAAGAGTTATTCATTTGTTACTTCCACAGTCGTCCTTTTACACATTTAGCTTTTTAGTCCATCCGAATTTTATTCTTGTGTACGCTGTATAGTACACAGGTAGATTTAATCCCCCGCCATCACCACCCGCATGGAAAAGCTAAATGTTCCAAGACCAGGTAATGGTTCACTTTTTCCTCCTGGTTTTCTTGTTCCACAGACATATCTCATTAGGGAGAGCCACAGGCGCAAAGGAGAGTCGTGAGATTTAGGCTCTGATTCCATAACGCCACTCACTACCTTGGGCCTTCGGGCCTTACTCCAACCGGGTCGAGGTCTGGGAACACCGAGTTCACGGTGAAGCCAGCGGCGCACACCAGGATGGGCGCGGTGGGACTGGGCTCCCGGCTCCTGGGCCCCACGCCCGCCCGGGTCCCACCTGCCGCCGCGCCGGCCCAGGCCTCACCTCGCAGGGCCCCACGAAGAGGATCTTGGCCTTCAGCATCGCGGCCCGCAGCCGCATACCCGCCGGAACCCCAGGCGCTGCCAGAGTCCTCGCCGCCGTCAGGGCGGAGCGGAAACGCCGCGCCGGTTGGCTGCCTTCGTTCCCATGGAGACGGGAGCGGCCGCGGGGGCCGACGGGAGTGGGCGGGTTTCTGCCGGGGCGGCGGGGCCAGAAGCCCGAGGGGCTCTGGGTTGGTCTGACGGCAGCCTGGTGGGCGGCGTGGGTTTCGGGTTGGGGGTGGGCGGCAAGGCAAAGCAAGAGGGTAAGAGGGAAGTAAAAAACCGGTATCCAGATTCGCTTGTGAGCGGGGAACCCCGCAGAGTTCGCGGGGTCTCAAATCTCCTTTATTGCTCCCCGTAACCCCAAGAGCTGAAACGGGCCAAGTAGCTGGTGAGGTGGGGTGGGAACCAGGCATCTGACGCCTATATCACTCTGGCATGATACTGTCCACATTGAGAACGGATTTATCATATCCCTGGCCCAGTCTAGAAAAGGTCAGGGAGAAAATGAGTCTCTATGGTTCACCACTCACCGTCATTTGGATAATCTGGGAGAAACCAAAAGGATGATAATGCCCCGGCCTTGTTCACGGGCAGTGCAGGTGTCTGAACGCATTGCTGCTAAATTCAGTCACTAGGTCAGTTTTAAATTACGGAGGCGGAGCCGGTCCAGAAATTTGGGTGAGGCCATGAAATTGTATGCTAAAGGTGCCAATACAAAATACGCTAGTCCCCCAGAAGTGCTACTATAACAACTACAACAAGAACAACAACAAAACCAAAATAAATCCAATACCAAACTGCTTTTTTTGCAATACAAGGTGAACTGGGACTTCCCTGGTGACTCAGTGGTTAAGAATCGGCCTGCCAGTGCAGGGGACACAGGTTCGTTCCCTGGTCCGGGAAGATCCCACATGCCGCGGAGCAACTAAGCCCGTGCACCACAACTACTGAGCCTGCGCTCTAGAGCCCGTGAGCCACAACTACTGAAGCCCGCGTGCCTAGAGCCCGTGCTCCGTAACAAGAGAAGCCACTGCAGTGAGAAGCCCGTGCAGCACAACGAAGAGTAGCGCCCGCTCGCCGCAGCTAGAGGAAGCCTGCATGCAGCAACGAAGACCCAACACAGCCAAAAAAAAAAACAAGGTGAACTGTAAGGAAGAGTCTGCCTTAAGTTCAAGATGTCCTTAACTGATTGATTGGATAAATATCTTTTGAATGTCAGCTGTGTGTTCTAGGTACTGGGGATGTGCCTGTACCTCTTGAAGCTTTCATTGCAGTGGAGTAGATGGATATTAAGTAAACAAGTTAATAAAAAAAGTACTCTCAGGTAGAGACAATTTTAGATATTGGTAAACGCTATGAATAAAAATAAATCACTAAAGAGTTAAAGAGTGTGAAGGAGCCAATTTTGGATGGAGTAGTCAAGGCAACACCTTGGTGCAGAGGTGACATTAAAGCAGAAAACTGAGTAAAGAGAGGGCGCAAATAAAGCATGTGAAAGATCTAGGGTATGAGCAATGCAGCAGAACAGCAAGGGCAAAGACACTGAGGTGGAAATAAACGTGGTATGTTCCAAAAATAGCCCAGAGGGCCTGTGACACCGGTGCAGGAAGAGTAAGGAAGAGAGTGGTAGGAGATGCTTTTGGAGAGGTTGTATAAGACTTTGGGGATTCATTCTAAGGGTGATTGGAAGCCTGTGCCAGGATTGTATTTGGCTATGTGCCATAGAAACTCCACCACAGCAACTTAACCAAATAAGGGATGTATTATTTTCTCACCTAACAAGGAATCCAAGGATGGGCATACAAGGGCTGATGCAGCTGCTTTCTCCTTACTTTTCTGACATCTTTTGCTCCGCCTTTGTGTATTTGCTTTCTAGGCAGGAACAAAGGAGAAGGGCAAAGGTCAAAAGATCTAGAGTACTACACACTCCCTTTTCTCAGGAAAACAATGACTTCCTTAGAATCCCTATCCAGTGATTTCTCCTTCTGTCTCATTGGTCAGAACTGTGTCACGTAGCCTCCATAACTGCAAAGGAATCTGGGAAATACAGATTGTAGCTTTGCACATTTCTTTTCCCAAGAAGTGGGGCCCAGAGTGGGAGTGGGAGTGGGGATGGGGAGTTGATATTGGCTAGGAAACTGGCCAGCCAAAAAAGTCATCATGGAAGATTCTGAGCAGTGGATTGACATGATCTGATTTATGTTTAAAAGTGATCACTGGCTGCCGTGTGGAACAAAGGGGACAAGCGTGGATGCATACATGGCAATTAGGAGGGTATTCAGGTAGCTAAAGAGAGGGATGATGGTGGTTTGGCTAGGGCAGCAGTGGAGGTTGGATCTGGGACACATTTTGAAGGTAGAGGTAGCAGGAGCCGCTGATGGATTAGATGTCAGGGGAAGAGGAGTTAAGGATGAGTCCCATTGACTTATGAATGTCATTTTTCATTGACATGAATAATGTTTGCCATTTCCAGACTTGGAAAGACTGGGGCAGGGTTTGTGGTGGGAGATTAAGAGTTCTATTTTGGTTATGTTCGTTTTGAGATGCCTGCTAGTTGTTGAGGGAGAAATGGGATATAAGATTCTGTACCTGATGGGTGAGGTAAGGACTAGAGCTATAAATCTGGACAAGATATCAGTCAGCATGTGGAATGCCATGAAAGCCATGGACTAGATAACACGTAGGGGGTAAGTGTTGGCAGAGAAGATAAGTGTAGACAGATAGTGCCCTGGGACACTCTTCTATTTAGAGGAGAATCTAGCAAAGAAAGCTGAAAAGGATTGTCCAGAGAGGCAGGAAGGAAACTAGGAGAGTATGGCATCATGCAAGCCCAGTCAGGATGGTGTTGCAAGACAGGGAGTGATCCATTTTGTCAGATGCTTCCAAGAGATCCAGAGAAGTCAAGGAAGGTGAAGAATCAACCATCAGATGTGGTGGAGGTCATTGATCATTTTTTAAAAAATACTTTTCACTTACTATCTTTAACCACGTGACCACACATACATATAGCTTTGTAAAAATGGCTAAATATGATCATGCTTTCTTTTGGTGCAATCTCCTTTTTCTTTTTTTGTTTGGCTCCCTTACCTCACCCTTGACCTCTCCCTTTCCCTCTTTACTGCTTGAAGTTTTCATTCTAGTGAAGAGACAGACAGTGAGTAAACTCCCAATGGAGAGGCTATGATTACAACCTGGGGTGCATCGTTCAATATTTTTTTCCGTACATCTTATAAATTCCCATTCTACAAGGCTCTAAATACATAGAGATCTGTAACAGGTTGCTAAAAGGGTGACTCTATCCAATTTTGGCTGAGGCTTTAAAGGCTGACAATAGGTGTTGAGTGTCTCCCAGAGTCTAGTCCCTTTCTGTAGAACTTAAGCATATCGCCTGGAAGTTATCAGAGTCATGAAGTTGAAGAGGGAGAGAGGGGAAATTTCTTTGAAGAGCGTGCTGTTTGCTCATCTCCGGTCAAGTGAGACATGAGTCTTCAGAGAACTTGTATCCTCTGGCATTTGGGCAGCCCCTTGTTTTCACAATGCACCTTTGAAGATTATGTGCTTGAATCCTTAGATTGGGGTTCTGGAAGAAGAGGAGGGATGCATTCTCAGTTGATGAAAAATGAAGATGGAGTGGAAATAATCTGGATGGAGGGGCTTTGTATTTTGGGTGTGAATTAATTTGACTGAAATAACAAAACTGTATTCTAGTGTGAAGGTTGACAGTCTAGAGATGGTGCAGCAGCGCAAAAATGGCCTCATGCATCAGGTTCTTTACACCTTTTTTTCTCTGCTGTCCTAAGGTTTAGTCTTTGTCCTCATGCTTGTTATCTCATAGTCACAAGATGGCTGCTGTGCCTCCAGGCATCATGCCTGCAATTAAGGAAGGAAGAAGCGGGAAGAGCATATGCTTTTCTGGTTGAGTCTGTCCTTTTTTAAAAAAATTAACATTACTTAGTCATAATTTACATATAATAGAGTATACCTATTTCTTTTTGCGGTGCGCGGGCCTCTCACTGTTGTAGCCTCTCCCGTTGCGGAGCACAGGATCCGGACGCGCAGGCTCAGGGGCCATGGCTCACAGGCCCAGCCGCGCCGCGGCATGTGGGATCCTCCCGGACCGGGGCACGAACCCGTGTCCCCTGCCTCAGCAGGCGGACTCTCAACCACAGCGCCACCAGGGAAGCCCGAGTATACCTATTTTAAGTGTTCTTTGAGTTTTGAAAAATTCGTAGACTCCTATACATTTACTATCTTACCATCTTGCTCAAGATACGGAGCTCGAGTCTAGATGGGGAGACCAACCTGTATTGTGCTTTTCACCTTGTGCTTTTCCAAATATAATCTCATTTTAATTCACAACTGGAGCTATTGCTAAAAGGCACGTGATGAGTCTATACCCTAAATTGATGTCAGGGAGGAGGCAGGAACCATGAGGCTTTGCAGTGGTTCTCCTTTCTGTGTGAAAAGATGCTGTGTCTCCTCTGTACACAGAAATGGCTTTGCCTCTCAGTCTGCACCAGCTGTGTCGGGTCCAGAGTCAGGGCTTCCTCAGCCCCTGTGTTTCCTGAGCCTCACTGGGAAATGCTACATCCTTTAACAACCCATGACTTCTTTGAAGAGTCTTATTCATGTTTGGGTCCACTGGACCCAGTTCAAAGCCTGGTGCACAGTAGGTGCTCAATAAATTTCAGTTCCGTCTCCCTCTCTCCCCACACATGCATGCAGACACACATACACATGCACATTCATTTATTCTATAAATATGTAAGTTAATGAAAGTTCCCTTATACTTGCCTTGGGGGCTTTAGTTTTTGTTTCCAGGTGAGAGAAATAAAAATTGTGAATTGCTTTACATTTCTTGGATATAGTTACTATATAAATTTGGGATTATTATTATAGTAGATTACTGAAATACTTTGCTTTATGACTTTCATTTTAATTAGAAAAGGTTGACTTCAGATGGCTTAATACCCAGCCTTTGGTCCTGAAGGGAGCAAT